AGCAAACAAACAATAATTTTGCATGTAGGGACTGCGATACAAACCCTTTTGACTTGGTGACAACTCTCACGTTTGTAATCTTTGTTTCAACACCTAGAAAAAAAAAACAAGCCTTAGAGAATCTTTAATGGTCATGATCCCGCTAATATTCACTTTAAATGATTGCCTTCGTGATTATTTTATGTGTGGCGTACCCTCGAGCTGAGTGACCAACAAATTGCCATGTGTCCACTGATGGATCCAGTGCTGGAAGCTGTAGCATTTCTGCTCTATCTCAGAAATCTTTTGCATAACCAGTTTCCCTTTAGCATCCATTGTGCAATACTTAAGGAATAAACCAGTAAGATCAGCCTCCACTGTGGCATACGGCACAGAATTTGCTGGCCGGTACATCAAATAGCGAGGAATCACTCTGTGGGCAACATGAAGTAACAGTGGGATGATCACAAGCAGTAATATACTGTGTATAGTATAATTTTAATGGATTTAATTATCAGAACAAAAATATATCTGTTGCTTACTCTAGTGAAGGCCCAAAGGTTTCAATAACTCTTGCTTCAGCTGAGAAGATTTTGCAGTATTCTCGAATCATGTTTTGGACTTTGCATTCCTAGAAAACAGAGATTTAAAAAATAAATAAATAAATAAAGCAGAAGGAAGCACTATTTAACCATATATACTAAAATGTAACAAAAGTTCCTCAGTGAAACTCACGTGCTTAGTAATTTCTAGATTTCTCTCTGCAAGGTTGCTCTCCTGTTTGGTCCCATAAGTGATGGGGCTTTGAACTTTAATAATACAAGTGCTTCCGGACTCAAAGACGGGATCCAGGCCATAGATGACCTTCACCTGGCTGGCTTTGTGCATGCAGCCCTCCCCAAGGTGCAACCTCTCTGTCATGATCCGACCAAAGTACTTGTCACCCCAAGTGCCAGAGTCGACCAAGCCTTTGGTGAACAGGAGCGGGGTCATCTCTATCTCTTCTCCAACTGAAGCAAAAACAGAGTTACTCTGGGAATCCAGTTAAAAATAGTGTATAAACAAAGGCTCAGATGCATATAGTGTTTAACCAAAAAGTACCTTCCAAATCATCTTTTAGCAGTATTTCAGACATAACTGTAAGAGAGAAAACAGACAAAACCTTGAATAAATTGAATTTAATATTAGTAAAACACTCTAAATTTCAATTTCGATTTTTTTCTATACATGCTGTTTCTTACTGTCTATACTGAGGAGGAAGTCAGTACTGTCCGTCCCGTATTCATTAGTGATCGTGCAGCCATATACACCACAGTCTTGGTTGGACGCGAGAACAATTGCCAGTGCTACTTGGCTTTCATCTCCTCCACTTGAGCATAAAATAAAGAAAAAATAAAGAAAAAAAATCCACACACACAGTCATGAACGCATTCAATCGAGAGACTCCAATTCCCCAACAACCCACAAGATGTCACTGTGAGACAGATGCTCGTGCTGTGTGGCAGCAGACTGCTGACACAGCAACCATTCGCACATATATAGACTTTTAATGCACCCTGGAGATGGGAAAAATATTGTGTCAGGTTACAGTTTCTGTGTCTAGCCAGAGATTCACCTCTCTGTGTCACAGCTGTGGGGTTCACAGTCACATGAGCTGGACATCTTTTGCAGTGAGAATATGAGAATGACAGAAGACCATGGGATGCACTCAGGCCCAAATAAATCCTGCTTATCCTTGAAGCATTATTGTTTCATATTTGGAACCCGCCCATTTGTCATTTTGGCTGGAAATCCTCAGAATAATAGCAATGGCAAAGGTGAAAAGTAGCTCTTTTAATACCTAAAACAAATTGAACATGTGATTTTACAGATAGGTAGGGTGGTTATGACCATAAAATGAGTAAAGGTGAAAACTAACCTTCTTTTCACCTCTAGAATTTCTTCCTCATCTCTGTACCACTTAATGGTGGAGTCGCCGAGCACGTTAAAGAACTGGCACCAAAGCTTCAGGTGTCCAGAGGCATCTGGGAATGGCTCTCCCCGCATCTTACGGATAACCTGCGGAGCTGGTGATGCATGGAAAGGAGAGTCGAGCTCATGTGATGTTTCTTGTTTCTTAAGTGGCAGTTTATTTCACATTTTTTGCACTGATGATATATTTAATATAAATGATATATTTTGAGAAAAGTATGAAAACAAGGAAATTAGACAGTCCACTGTGATTTAACAGATAATTGCTTGTAACTCCATAGAGGCTAATTATCCATCTATCCATCCATCCATCCATTTGTCTCCATCCATCCATCCATGCATGCATTTGTCTCCATCCATCCATTTGTCTCCACTTATCCAATCCATGGTTATGGGGGAAAACTGGACAGGTTGCCTCATTATTTATTTATATTCCACGCATATATTTAGTTAATATGATAAAAAAAAAAACTCTTCATTTCATTATACCTTTGCTAAATTAAACAAAAGAAGACTTTACCTTTCAAAGGATCTATCTTTTTTTCAGCAG